CAAACTAATGAAGTTTAACAATTAAATCTTTTGAAACAAATATGTGTATTCTTCATTCTGGTGATGTTTCGCAACTATTTCATCAGAGAGTGTGTTGGACAATAGATTTACCTTCAAAATTAGCATGGAAAGTTCAAATTCTGCTCTGGCCTGCTAATGTGTGAACCAATACAGATCGATAATGGTCAGGTCAGTATTCTCCAGAGGTAATCCATAAAACAGTCAATGTGCTGCATTGCTAATAAGATAGATGTCACTTGTTCCTTTCAATAAGTGTGCCTTTAAAGTGTTGTTGTTTTTTTCCATCTGATAAGTGAAGGTTGAAACGGATGAAGACAGAAACTCTATGTGACAGTTTTCTGTGTGAGTGTCTTATATTGCTTGGGTTTATAAACATTTATTTTTCTCCTTTATGAAAGGAATAGGCTATATTTTGTTTTGCATGTATAGCAGGAAGTTTGTCTTGAACAAACTAGCTGATGTTAACTCGTTATGAGCTTAGAAATCAGCAGATTTTTTCCAAATGTGAGCACTAAAATAATGTTGTATTACAGTAATACTTTGCTGTAATGTGGGAAACATTTAAGCAATGACAATTAATAGCTCTTACATGGCAACTCATTAAGCAAAAATGTAATATCTATACCTTTTCACACAATATTTCCAGTTCTTTTGTCTATGTTTTGCTCGCCCAACAAAATTAGTTCCAAAGCCATTGGAAATCTCAAATCAGATCACATTTTTGAATGAATCGGTTGAGTAAATGATTAAGTATGCCATGTACTGACGTAATAAGTCAAATGCTGCTCAGCCAATCAAATTTGAGGACCGGAACTAACTGTTGAATAAATTACATGGTTGGTAAGAAGTGAGTGATCCTGCCAAGCCAAGAAAAGTGCACTACAGTCTCATGAGACACACTATTGGCAGTTCAACAGACCATGCAAGCAACACCCCCCCCCACCCCCACCCCACTTTTACAATCTGGAGTCTTAACTAGGTAATTACACTCACCAACCTTCCATTCAATTATATATGGCCCTCTATATTGAGCCTGCAACACAGAACCGGGTATTGGTAAAAGCACAAGTACTTGGTCTCCTGAAGAAAATACACAATGCTAAGCCTTTCGATCATACCATCCCAGACAGCAGACAGTTTCGGCCCAGATCCAGCCCACATCTGGCCCGCATGGATTTCACATGGGCCAGATGTGGGCCGGATCTGGGCCAACACTATGTTGCTGTCTGGGTATATTCACCAAAAGGTTACATTCATACATCTACAGGGGTTGAGAACGTGAGGAAAAAGGAGAGCTGTTCTATTTGTTCCACAGAGAGGCTTAATGCAAGCTTTATGAGTCTAACCCATTATGAGAGACTCGCTGAGGCTCTGAGGTAATTATGGCCACCTCTCCTTCTTATTTTCACTTTGTCTTCCTCTCTGTCGGTAAATGGCACTGCAAGCATGTTTGCCGCTGTGCATGTCATTTACAGCTTTGAAAACAGCTTCCTGCTGAAATCTCTTGCTGACCAATCTTCTGAGACAAGCACGCACACATAGTGCTTGCGTTCAATACAGAGCATTCTCCGCTAAACAATATTGCAGACACGATTCCCATTCAACATATCTCATATTCAAAACCTGAGGCATCCATCCAAATGTACGTCTGCATTTTAGTCTTTTCTTTATTATCAAAGAGCTGCCATTCATCCTCCTGTCATTCATCCCACATCAGTGGTAATAGAGATTATAACATACTGACAGCAGAAAGGACAGAATGAGTCCTTCTCCAGATGTTCTGGGCTGCTTCTGGAACTCATTATTATTAGGTAAAGCAGAAGTGTCTGTAGAAGGGATGATGTCAGTTGAATGGCATTCAAGATACAGATTGAAACTTCATTGTCAACAAAATTACTTCATGTCTACATGTAAACCAGGTACCATTTATATGGGATAGTCACCCAAAAATTGTCATTAACTAGCCCATATGTCATTCTGAATCTGTATAACTTTCCAACCCAGGCTTCAGAGGTATAAAGTGTACCTGAAAACTGAACTTGAGTAAAAGTGCAGATATCTTACAGCAAAAATTACTCCATTACAAGTCACAAATTCCAATATGACTTAAAATCCAATATGAAGTAGAATCTTAGAGTATCTGATTTTAACAGTACTTAACTATTTTACTCCTATAGAATGTAGGTTCGAAGATGCACTAGTCCTCAACACCTAAGAGAAATGCCATTGAAAAACAAGAAATAGGTCATTTGTGAGGACAGCAACCACATGTTCATCACCTCAATATTACAATAAATCAAGGTCAACGCAACAGCCTCTTAAATGTCTACAAACACTGAAAAAGGTTAAACCAATATCTTTCAAAAAGGTCTCTCAAAAACGCGTGAGATTCACAATACTAATGATAAGTTTGGGTGAGTAAGGGTCAAATGCACAAGATCTAGACCTTAAATGCCATGTAGATGGCAATATCACTACTTCTGTAACAGAAATAAACTGCTGCAGAAAAAGTTAGGTGCCATGCATAATGTAACAAGTAATTGCATTAATCAATGTAGTGGAGTAAAGAGTACATAAATTTATTATAAAATGTACTCAAGTAGAAAGTAAAAGTTGCTAATACATTTGATACGCAGTAAAACTACAAAACAGCCAAAAAGATAATTAAGTAACTTGAATACTCTGAATACTCGGAAGAAGAAGAAAAAAAGTGCTTAGAAAAACCCTTAGAATAGCTGATATACTAATATTTAATCACTCCAAAACTAAGTATACCTGGCCATTTTTAACATAACAAATCATAAATCTCTTGGCCAGCCTAATTGCACTTGAAAGTAAGTGGCACTGGGGGATTTACATACACATAGAGTTGCTGGACTTTTCACAAAGGAAAGAGTCCAGTGAGGACATTTAAATCTATTATTTTAAGAGCTAGTTCACCCAAAATGAAAATTCTGTCATTAATTACTCACAATGTTTATGATGATATATTGTAGCAAATACAACCATTAAAAAAAAAAAAAAATCACACACATTGGTTTCCTTTGTATTTCTTCCTCAACTTCTGCTTCTTCTTGGCTGTACAACCACAGACATCCATGTTCAATTTTTCTTTTAATATTGTTGAATTTCCAGCTGGCACAGTTTAAATTCAATATTTGAATGATTTGTTAATGAATCAGTGATTCAGTTATCAAATTCAATGCCACTGAGTCACTGGATGTCAAGATTGAAAGATAAAAAAATCATACTACCAACTGGAACATGTCCAAAGAAAAAAAAACAAAAAAACAAGTGCTAAATATGTGCAGTGTGGCATCCTAAATAGCATTTTGCAGATCAATCACATATGTGACCCTGGCCCACAAAACCAGTCATAAGTAGCACATGTATATTTGTAGCAATAGCCAACAATACATTGTATGGGTCAAAATTATCTTATGCATTGCTAAGAACTTTATTTGGACAACTTTAAAGGCAATTTTCTCAATATTTTGATTTTTTTGCACCCTCAGATTCCAGATTTTCAAATAGTTGTATCTCAGCCAAATATTGTCATATCCTTACAAACCATACACCAATGGAAAGCTTATTTATTCAATTTTTATTTCATTATTTATTTACTTTCAAACGTAAGGTTTTGTGGTCCAGGTTCGCATATATTTCTGCAGTGTCATGGCCCCGCCCACTGTGAAATCTGATTGGTCTAGATTCAACTCTACATGACTCTAATAACTGACAGTTGGAAACCTGGTGTGTCCTGCCTGGTTAGGAAACAGTATGAGACCATCATTATTCCATATGGCACTGCCACTATACTTTTTCATAAGACTTTCTCTCAAAAGTAGTCACAGATAACTGCAACAAATGTGAGTATGTCTTGGAATTCAACGTCTACTTCAGACTAATACACAAAATTGCACTAATAACATTTACTGAGCTGAACAGGCCTGTTTAATAGATTGCAAAGGTCAGCTGTCATTGTATTTGGAATATATCAAACACATTGAGCTGCTCTGCTGATACGGCATGAAAAGTGCTAGTGCTCCGACTGCATCAACAATAGCCTTAATCCCATCCATTTGCCATTTCTGGAGGATTTGTTGAGCCTGATGTAACAAGTGCCCTCAACATAAGCTGGAGCAATGGACCAGTTTCTAGGTTAGTGGAGAACAGAATTAATACTGGCAGTAAATGAATCACAAAGTCATGAGAGGAAGATACTCAGAAAATATGTATTGTAATTGAGCAATCACCTGAATGGCATGAAACAAAATTTGAAACAACAACAACAATAATAAAAATAAAATGATACACAAAATATGAATTCTCTGTTGTCTTTGGTTTTCTTCTCTTATTCTTTTAAGATTTGTTTTCTCTCCATGTTTTTCTTAATTTAATGTAAGTTATCTACGCTATCTCTGTGTACGTAGATTTTAGTAAGACTTTTATTTGACTTAGCTGTATTTTGAACAACTCTTAAGCTTCACTGTCTCTTTAATTTTTTTGAGTTTAGGATTCTTATTCTATTTTGCTTTTAGCGTTATTACTTTCTATACCGTTTAGACAAACCAAATAAACCCTTAAACAAGATACAATGTTATATACCCAAAATTCAACCAAATTGGAACTTCTTGACACAACTAAAATGTTCAAATAAAAATTCAAATAAATCCAAAATTTACATCCGACTCACATTCAATAACATTCAATAAACAATATTCTTGTTAGAACTCTTTGTCTGAATTGTCTGTGAATATCGTCCAGAAAGTCCTGTAAGAAATTCAGTGGGTGAGTGCAAAATCAGTTAAATCCTACCAGTTCAAAGAAGTACCCGAACAAAAGAGAATGTCCTCCCAATTGAAGAAAGTTGAAGAATTTAAGGAATCCTTGTGATCCTTGTGAAGTGTCTTTTTCCCAGGTTCAGAAATCAGCATTCAATTTTTCCCTTGGTGGCCCGCCATCCCCGCCATCTGAGAGAGGTTCTCAACTCAACCAATAAACCTGACCTGTTTTACCAAAACAGTGTCATTAACATTCAAAATTGTCTCTATATCATTTTTCTCTTTAAACTGAGTTTTTAAACATCCATATCCACGTTCATAATGAACGTGTGATCTTACAGGCATATTGAGAATATGGAAATTAATTTTCATTAATTGCTAAGCAGAATATATCACTCAGCATTCCAAAATAAATCATATTAACAATCAGAAAATATGCAAACAATCTTTACAACATGCATAATGATATGCATAGTAACAAAATACATCTTTCAAAGAAAATAAAATACATATAAACTCACCAAATCCCGAGTTTCACAGTTTGACAAACACCCACTTCAGATTCAAAGGAGCTTCACAATCGGCTAGCATCCACGCTTAAATCAGCAATCATCATTCTAAAACGATTTATCATCATCAACCATAAAGTATTATAAAGTTGCTTATAACCATATTAAATGAATTATTACAATATAAACCTTTTTAATCCCTTCTGTATCGCTCTCATCTCGTGTTCAGTGCGTCTCTTGCACTTCCGGGAGTCATCTGCTTACGTCATACACAACTCGTGTACGTGTAATACATCACATGTTCTGCACTCAATTATAATACTAATTATTTTTATTTATACATAATTAATTCACAATGCATATTAATAGATCGTTTAACTTTTTTAATTAAAAGTGTAACTATTAGAATATACAATTATATTATTTATTTTCTTTAGGCACCACATTTAACATGGGTTACACCCTCCCCTCTTTAAATCCATGCAAGTCCCTTTGCATTGTGATTATGTTTGCTAATCAGTGTTAGGACCTACATCTTAGGGTGTCTAACCGATCTGGGTTGCTCTGCTAGAGTTTCAATGAAAGCTGTGTTCAACCCTTGCAAAAGAGATTGAATAATTGATATCATGGGATTGCCCAAATCAGGGTAAGTCAATCTTTTGGATTTTTGTCTCACTCTTTTGGACTTCCTTAATCTACTTCCAGCTTCACATTCATCTGACTCTGTATCTTCTTCAGATGTTTCAGATTCAACTGGATCCACTCTGTCTCCTTCCACTGGAACATGAGGTATGTTTTTTTCATTTTGTTCTGTGTTAGTGTTAGTTCCGCTTTCCGTCCTGGAATGAGCGAGTGATTTCAAGCTTTGTTGCCCCGTTTCAGACGGATAACTTCTCTCTTCCAATCTTTTCCTTTCAGGTATCACATCGCTGTGCACGGAAGCTGGTCCAGAAGAAGACTGAGTTTCAGGTAAGTATCCTGGTTCAGGTAAGTATTCTTCATGCGTACTATCAATGACATCGCCACTGGCAGGGTTTGAACCATGTTGCATCTGGATTACAGGTTCAACATTTCTGAGAGGGATTTCTCTTGATGCTCTCAGAACTTCAAACTCCTTAACGAATCTCACTGGAATGGTTTTGGAAATGGGCTCAATTTCTTGCACAAGATATTCATCGTCCTCTCCATCATAATCCAGACATTGCTCTGAACTTTCTGGTCCTTCATCATTTACTTCTCTCAGAATTGTTCGTCCTTTTTGCAGCTTTTGTGTGATTTTCTCTTCCTCCACAGATGGTGACAAGAAACCACAAGGCAATAACAAGTCCCTATGTAGTGTCCGCAAAGACCCTTCTTTCCCTTCTGGTTTCACGGTGTAAACAGGAAGTTCACCAGCACGGTTCACCACGATGTATACTTCAGAGTCCCATTTATCCGCCAATTTGTGCTTCCCTCGGAGACGCACATTCCTGACGAGAACTCGATCACCCACATCAAGTGAAGACTCTGTCACTCTTTTGTCGTACCGTGTCTTGTTCCTTGCTGCAACCTTTGCTGCATTCTTTCTGGCAAGTTCGTAACTCTCCTGCAAATGAGTTTTCAACGTTTTCACATACTGGGAATGGAACTCATTATGGCTGTTATTCACAGGTACTCTAAAAGCGAGGTCTATTGGCAACCTGGGCTGCCGGCCAAACATTAACTCATATGGAGTGAATCCTGTAAGTCCTCCAGGAACAGAAGAATGAGAGGGGGGTTCCATCACTACCCAACTATCTGTCATTAGTCCCTTTACACTTACGACTCCCTGCAAGACAAGATTCTGCCCTGCAGGTACAACAGCGGCATCAGCGCTTGGGAGTCTAACAACTCCTACACTGCTGTTTACTCTTTGAGTCCTTCGATACTCAATTGTTTTCACTACTGCCTTATAGCCGAATGGAATGGATTTGCAGACAGAGTCATTGATTTCAAGATGTTTCCCATATGCCAAATCTAAAGTATTGGTACCTATGAGCACTTTTGGCTGAGCGGTGCCACTGGTATCTGGAATAACCAGTGCAAGTGTCGACACTTCCACAGTACTCCCAAGAAAATCTTCAGGAAACTTGACCCTCATTTCTACATACCCCAAATAGGGTACTACCTGTCCATTCGCAGCCTCCACTTCCAAAAGATTCTCCAAAGGGATTATACTTAGTTCAGGCAGGTTTTGTTCATGATAGGATTGGGAGATTGTCGTCACTTGCAACCCGGTGTCCAGGAGGCAGGAACATAGTTTCCCTTCTATGTATACTTGAGCAGTACACTTTGCCCCTATCAACCCCTTTGGGAGGCTGGCAAACGGACCTCTACTATGGGAAAACTCAGAACTACTCCTTCTTGTGGATCCTTTGAGACTAGTTTTGCATATGGTAGCCCTTGTACGTCTCGCTACAGGGGCTAATTCCAGTTTAAAGACTCTGAGACCACTGGGCACTGCTGGCGGTCCCACAGACTTTGTCGTTCTCTCAGCTGCTTCCGTTTTTCGTTCACTAAAGGTGGGTTGGGATCGCTCTCGCAACCAGATGCGATATGTCCATCTTCGCCACAGCGGCTGCAGCTCAGCAAAGTAACAGGCGGTAGCTTGCTTGGTTGCGCTGGCAAGTAAGCACTTGACAAGAGTAATATGACATAAGAGACATTGTGAGGGCTTCTGAAAGTGTATGGCAGCATAGGCTCAAGAGTCACAAGGGCAGAACAGCTTTCATACTCTACAATAACGTCTCTATGAAAAGGCGACTTTGGGTCATCTACTCTCAGATGTCTACTAACACGTCCATGTTTATTTAGAAAGTCAACTAGGTCTTCATCAAGCTCAGTGTCAGTTAACCCACGAACTATCACTGAGTTCGCAACTTTAACATTTTCCGTTTCAACAATATCCATGTTTCTTTGAACTAACGTAAACTCAGGTCTGTATAATCTGATTTTTTTTTTCCCCTTTTCAGGAACTTTAGAAACCCATTCAGAAGATATTTACTACTACTGTTCTCCTGGCTGGCTCGCCAAGATTTGTGTAACAAGTGCCCTCAACATAAGCTGGAGCAATGGACCAGTTTCTAGGTTAGTGGAGAACAGAATTAATACTGGCAGTAAATGAATCACAAAGTCATGAGAGGAAGATACTCAGAAAATATGTATTGTAATTGAGCAATCACCTGAATGGCATGAAACAAAATTTGAAACAACAACAACAATAATAAAAATAAAATGATACACAAAATATGAATTCTCTGTTGTCTTTGGTTTTCTTCTCTTATTCTTTTAAGATTTGTTTTCTCTCCATGTTTTTCTTAAACAATTTAATGTAAGTTATCTACGCTATCTCTGTGTACGTAGATTTTAGTAAGACTTTTATTTGACTTAGCTGTATTTTGAACAACTCTTAAGCTTCACTGTCTCTTTAATTTTTGAGTTTAGGGTTCTTATTCTATTTTGCTTTTAGCGTTATTACTTTCTATACCGTTTAGACAAACCAAATAAACCCTTAAACAAGATACAATGTTATATACCCAAAATTCAACCAAATTGGAACTTCTTGACACAACTAAAATGTTCATAAGCAGAATATATCACTCAACATTCCAAAATAAATCATATTAACAATCAGAAAATATGCAAACAATCTTTACAACATGCATAATGATATGCATAGTAACAAAATACATCTTTCAAAGAAAATAAAATAAATATAAACTCACCAAATCCCGAGTTTCACAGTTTGATAAACACCCGCTTCAGATTCAAAGGAGCTTCACAATCGGCTAGCATCCACGCTTAAATCAGCAATCATCATTCTAAAACGATTTATCATCATCAACCATAAAGTATTATAAAGTTGCTTATAACCATATTAAATGAATTATTACAATATAAACCTTTTTAATCCCTTCTGTATCGCTCTCATCTCGTGTTCAGCGCGTCTCTTGCACTTCCGTGAGTCATCTGCTTACGTCATACACAACTCGTGTACGTGTAATACATCACATGTTCTGCACTCAATTATAATACTAATTATTTTTATTTATTCATAATTAATTCACAATGCATATTAATAGATCGTTTAACTTTTTTAATTAAAAGTGTAACTATTAGAATATACAATTGTATTATTTATTTTCTTTAGGCACCACATTTAACATGGGTTACACTGACCTCAATATTACAGCGTAATACAGGGTGCAACAGAACATTCATTGTAACCTCAAGGATTCATTTTTGTATTGTCATGCAGTTGAATCAGGTCAAATTTTGCACGACTTATTGATATTATATCCACTGCTTGTAGACCCACAACTGTAAGGAAAGTGCTTGTATGAGAAGCATCTATCTGTGTATTTGACATTTCTTTGTACACGTTCCAAGCCCCCGGATTCACCATTAGCACATGTAATTTGTCAGTCATTTCTTGAAATTGTACAGCTATCATTTATAACATCCATTTATTCCCTAGTAGACAGGTGAACAAATGAGAGAGATCTCTCATGAACTCCACACTTGTTCAGGCCAAGGATCTTCTGGCCTGCGCTAGTTACACAAGGCTGACATTTTGCCAAGGTCTAACTGCTGACCTTTTCATGAGGCGAGAGCTCTTACCATTTAATGTCCTCTAATTGAGCAAGCTTGCATTGCCAAGAAAATATTGCCCTGGGATTTGCTTCCCTCAGGGGGATGCTATCCACTCCACATACATCTAAAACACTACCTGCTATAAATATAGGCCAGAGCAGTACTTTATCTTATGTAATAGAACATATTAAGAGAATATAGGTTCAATAACTTCAGACACTTACTTTACACAATACATATTGCTATCTCACCATTACACAGCTTACAGTAATTGCGTTGCTCTGGATTTGGATAATTCAGGTCATTTTCATATGATATCTACACAAACATACCAATAAGGGACTTGACATCAAATAAATATCTAGTCCAGTCAAGAAACTCTAGATGCCGCAGGTTCTTAACATCCAATCTGTTAGCAATCAATTTGCCAATTTGGTACAAGCTATCATGTCATTATTAGAGTTCTTCTGAAACCCTCCACCTCCTCCAGCTCCACTTGTCTATGCAATTTATGTGTGCTTATTCATGCAGCAGCAGCATATCTTACATGCTCACAGCGGCATGTCTGCAACTTGCTCTGAAAATAGAAAATAATTGTTCATGTATAGTTCAATCATGACAACTCTGTGGATAGTTTTAGGATGATACGACAATGTAAATATATTTGGTCTTGGTTGACTTCATCTGCTACATCAGCAGCAGCATGCACAGCACATGTAGTCTGCCAAGACCAAATATATTAACATTGTCATATTGTGCTAAAACTAT